CACTGTTGACCCCCCCCCCCAAGCACCAAGAAGACAGAGCATCACTTGCCCCAGAGCCCCTAGCTATACCTTGTGGCTAATAGCCACTGATGGACCTCTGCTCCATATGCTTATCTAATTCCCTTTTGAAGCCGTCCATGCTTGTAGCACCCACCACTTCCTGTGGCAGTGAATTCCATGTGTTAGACCCTGACACAGTGGCTTTCACGGAACAAGATCTGAATCACCCAAGAGTGGTGTGTATCTCAGCACACTGCGCAGGAAAACGTGAAGCCTTCTTACATTTTTAAGCGGCCCTTAAATACCATAAGATGGTTTGACTCTGCCCAGCACGAATGTATAATTACGGTCCAATTCATTCCTACAAAAAGCAGTGTGGTTGGCTGCTTGGAATGAAGCCATGTGACAACACTGCTCCATGGGGCAACTTTCCTGCATCACAAAGCTTTGGATGATTTCAATCGCATCTGCAATGTCCTTCACATATTCAGGATGATCCAGAAAGAAGGGTCAGCACCAGCACAAACTGATCAGTTTGTGCACAACCTGAATTGCATCTGATAACGAAGCTCAAGACAACGCCTCCACCTGGACTGAATTGAGACCTAGGTTTCCTGTCTCATAACCAATACCGATTTCTCCACCCCTACTACCTCCTCTGCATATCACACCTAATCCAATCACGCCTTCTATTGTCATTTGCCTGCCAATGTCATTCGGCATCTGAAATCACTCCACTTTCCAACATATAGGACAGATAGACTCAGATTCTAGCTGCATCTGAAGAAGTGAGCAGTGACTCATGAGAGCTCCTCCCCTGCCACAAATTTTGTTAGTCTTTAAGGTGCTCCTGGACTCTTACCCTTTGCTACCTACAAGAATCAATCATTGCTTTATAAAGGACACAGGCAAACCCAATCAACAACATTACTTTTTACTCAAAATACAAACAAAAGCAATTGATTCCAAGCAGTGAAAACAACTTATTTACCCACAAAAGACCCAATAAATGTATTTAATCAAGTGCATGACTAGTTTTTCCCCAAGGGATACCAGAAAAGGGGGGAATACTTTATATGTCCATACATGCCAGTTGCTTGCGGGCTGGGTAAGAGCCCTGGACGGGCCGGTTCTGGCCCCCGGGCCTTATCTTTGAGACCCCGGCTCTAGATGGTCTTTAAGCGCTCTTCTGGAGAGGACTCTGTGATCTCAGGGACCCATCCAGAAAATCAGCAAATCAGCTTTCCCTCTTAATGACTCACTTTACCCCACCCACTTCCACTGAGGTTGTGCATAGGCTCGCTAGCCTCCAGGTGGGGCCTGGAGACCTCCTGGAATCAGACAACAGAGATCAGCTCCCCTGGAGAAAATGGCCGCTTTGGAGGGTGGACTCTATGGCGTTCCCGCTCTGAAGATGGTCAATTATTGGGAATAAAGAGGGGGACGCAGATGGAATGATGGTAACGATGGTGACGTAATTTCAAACTAAGTTATATAACATGAAGAGTCCAACTGTCTTCTTCCTGATGGATGATATGAATCCAATGTACAGTGATGTGTGCCGAACAATGCAGCAACCTATTGTACATTTCCCAAGTGATGATCCATCTGGTGAAGCTGGCAGGCAGCTTGTATTTCTCACTGTGATGATTCGGCTTAAGCCAGCAAGCCTATTTATTTTATTTTATTTTTTTCATATTTGTATCCCGCCCTCCCCAATGGGCTCAGGGCGGCTAACAGAGGCAGGCGAATTAACCGTGCCATAGTTAAAACTTGTAAAACATATTAAAAAACATCAACACTAAAACAATGGTGCTCAAACATCGCTGTTTACATGTTTGACTCATGCAGAAGTAAATTCAAGAGCTGTGGTTCCAGGAAAGTTTATATGCCTAAAGATTTGTTCGAAACACGCAGGTCATGCCCGGGAGGCATGTTGCTAGGCTGGCTTGCTAGCTGAATCACCTCACGGGAAAATACACCTACTAGGCTTGCTGGCTAAGCTGAATCATCACAGTGAGAAATACAAGCTGCCTGCCAGCTTCACCAGATGGATCATCACTTGGGAAATGTACAATAGGTTGCTGCATTGTTCGGCACTGCTTAAAGACTGCCAGGGAGGGGGAGCTTGCCTCCTCCCTAGGCAGCCGATTCCACTATTGAACAACTCTTAGCGTCAAAAAGTTTTCCCTCATATCCAGCCAGTACAAGAGAACCATTGGCCTCTTGGCAACACAGAACGGACCTCAGTGGGGTATGACGCCATAAAGTCCACCCTCCAAAGATGGCACTTATATCAGAGGAACTGATCTCTGTCATCTGGAAATCAACTGTAATTTTGGGAGCCCTCCAGTCTCCACCTGGAGGTTGGTAACCCGACTTAAAGGCCCAAGCCTCTTCCCCACCCTAATCTTTTATGTTTGTCTTTCCCAAGATGAAAAAACACAACACAAATTCCTATATAGTTCTCAGAACTGACTCAGAAGAAGGAGAAGAAGAGATTGGATTTATACCCTACCCTTCACTACCCAAAGGAGTCTCAGAGCGGCTGACAATCTCCTTTCCTTTCCCCTCCCCACAACAGACACCCTGTGAGCAATGCTCCCTCTAAGCTGTGAAGCCTTCTGAGCAAAAATTCTACTTTGTGAGCTCCTGCCATTAAAGTTGTGAGCTTAAAGTTGTGAGCGAGCGACTTGGCTACTGCATAAATTAGTTTGCTCTGGAGCCCTCCTTCCTGAGCAAAGACAAAAAGGTGTGAGACGAAGGTTAAAAATCTGTGAGCTAGCTCACACTAACTCAGCTTAGAGGGAACACTGCCTGTGAGGTAGGTGGGGCTGAGAGAGCTCTTTTGAGAACAGCTCTGAGAGAACTTGCAACTGACTGAGGAAGAAGAAGAAAAGTTGGATTTATACCCTGCCCTTCACCTGGAGTCTCAGAGCGGCTTACAAATTCCTTTCCCTTCCCCTCCCCACAACAGACACCCTGTGAGGTAGGTGGGGCTGAGAGAGGTCTTTCAAGGACTGCCCTTGAGAGAACAGCTCTGAGAGAACTTGTGACT